CGGTCTTTTGACGCAAAGCACTTTGAGAGGAATGACGTGAGTGATGAGATGAATGATTATGATGATTATGGGAGGTTTGTTGCTTTTGTTGTTGCATTTGTTTGGCAAAATAAGCATTTGCTAATGGATTTAAATGTTCACGTGGCTGAGAATTACCATGACCATTTGTTAATTGATGTTGATGATTATGTTGAGAAGTTTGTTGTTGTTGCTGTTGATGAGGATGTGAAGAATAATTACTATTTTTATCGTAAGCATTAGAAGCACCATTATGACCATAATAATCATTATAACTAGGAGTAGCAGAAGATGTACTTGCGCTGTTATGATGGCTACTACCACTACTACCATGCTTATGCCTGTGATGATGCCTTGAAGATGATTTTGGTGGTTCACTATATGTTCTGGGTAATGATTTCGATCTTTCATTTGTTTGATATTCTTTAGCATGATAATTACCACCCATTCCCATAACACTGCTACCGTTCATAAGACTATATTGTTCTTCTTCCGCCACCTGATCAAGATTTTGTGTTGAATTACTTAGACCAGAACGTTCGCTGCGATCACGATGTCTTCTTTCAGATTCTCTCTTAACAATACGCACTGTTTTGATTTCCTGTTTCTCCTGTTGTGTTAAATTTGCAAATGGATTAGTTTCTAAGAAACCATCACTATCCACACCACTTGTCTCCAAATTATCGCTAGAATCATTATAACGATAAGATGAAGATCCCATTCTTCTTTGTGATTCGTTGGTCATACTATCGCCTGTATTGTAATCGCTTAATTTACTTGAAGTCGAAGAACAGTTTAATAAATTGCCACTGGTATTGTTGGAACTAGTGTCCACGTACAGAGGCGTTGATAGATTCATGGTAGAATCACTGAAAGTACGATTAACACACATCATAGTATCCAAATCGGTTTCTATCCAACAACCGGAATTGCTTCTCTTCCTAATACTGCCATTATTGCTGCTGGTCTCACCATTTCTTAAGCTACCATGTTCTTTATTACCAATTTCCTGATACAATCTATTAGAATTTTCCGTCAATTGCTTAACGGCCGAACTGAGTTCCTGTCGTTGTCTTTGCATATCCCCCACTAGAGTTTGGACTCTTTTCAGTTCTGATTCCAACATGGCTGTGGTGTTGCTGGTGTATGTATCGGATATTTGTAGAGCACTTTGACTGCCCCTTGATGCTTGCAGTTTCTGACGTAATACTAAGAGTTCCTGTTCTAAACGAGCATTTCCAGCTACTGTTTGCTCAAGTTTCTGTACGTTACAAAAGAAAAATTGTTTATAAAAATAAGATTTTGTGGATTGAATGGAATATAGATAAACATGCTGTAGATACAACTAAAAGCATGATATTTTTATGTGGTTCATTATGAGTAGTCAGAATGTCGTCTATTTTTCGGAGTTAACTACTACTAGTGAGATCGAATGAATTAACAAGTTATTCCAAATTGATCGTAGAAATCAATAAAATTTAACAATGTGATTAATTTTAAAATAGTGTTAAACAAAGAAATTCTTAACAATTCTTATCCAATTTTTGCTTAACATAATTTTAAACTATACATTTTTTGTTATGTTATCACACGAGTTTTAAATCAGTGTAATAACATCGGAGAACAGATATTGTGAAGACAGTTCGAGGTGATCCAAAATATGCCTGTAATAATTTCTCAAAAATAATTTCCTTGAAAAAATTGTAATTGCTCTTATGTTGTATCGGATTGATTAAAGTGTCATTGTTAAAACTCCCGATTTGTGGGAATAGTCTGTAATTTCAGTTCTAATATAAATACATTAATAAAATATCTATGTTAGTATATACTATTTGTAAGATCAATATGTGTTTTAGTGACAAAAGCATAGTAGTCATATAAAGCTATAAAAAGATAATTATTACGAGCACATGCTTTCTGGAATACAAAAAGGAGTACATACACACATACATACATATGTATGTATATATCAATCTTAATTAGCATTATGTTGATGTATAAAGCGCATTGTATATATGAGCATTACAAAAATTACACAAACAAAAAAAATAGACGACAAACTTCTACTAGGCACCTCGTCTACCTTAGAATTTTCGGCCAGCAACTGATGTACTCTAGACAATTCACGTTCCAACATAATTTGTTGTTTTTTGGCGGCTTCCAAAGCCAAAGGAGGACCACTAGTATCTTGTATACGGGCCTTTAAGCCACCCAAAGCTCTCTCAAGATCCTCTTTGTCACGTTGCAAATTTTGTAAAGTACCAGATTCTTCTTGCAATAATTGATCCAAGTGATATAATTGACGGACTTTAGACTATCGAAAGGAAATGTGAGTTAACATTATTATTAGTATTGTTTACTAAAGACAATGATAAATTACCTGTAATTCACTATGATCGGGATTTAAACGATCCCATTGCTTTTGTTCTTCTTGCAGCAAACGTTTCTCTTGTATTCTTTGATTAAACTCCAAACGATCCAAAGTGACTGCCTCAGGTCTCTGGGTCCTACCGTTGGCATCGTTCCGATAAAGTGAACCCAGCTTAACCATATTATCTACTAGATTAACCAAAGGTTTACTCTTTTCATATTGTCGTTCCAGATCGAGTAAGTGTTGTTTCAAATAATCTAAACGCTGTATACTTTCGGCGCGTGTTAGGCCTTCAGCGGTGCGTAAACGATTCTGTGAAATTGTTAAAATGTTAAATTAAATTTTAATGTATAAATAAAAAACACACAATAGCCGAAACCATAGAAAGTTTTAGATTAAAAACAAGATTTCTTAGATTAAATTAATAACACAGTGCTACAAAGAAAAACGTGTCAAGTGGTTCAATGATTTATTATCCCAATTGTCAAATGTATTCACTGTCTTCAGATTATTGTCTAGTTTGAATAGTTTTTTTAATAAATCTATTTTAGTACGATAATTTTTAAATTAAAGACCAACACCTGTTATTCTAAAAAATTAACCCAAATAATAATTCCTTAAAAAAATCAAATAGTAACCTGAACATCATGTATGTCAGTACAACATTGCTCAATGGCTCGAGCTGTATTGCTATTTTGTCGTCTCAATTGTATCAATAATAAAACCAACTCTTCATGAGTACGACTTAATAAATCGCCAGCAGAAACATCTAAATTCTGCACAAGTAAAATAAAAATTAAAAAATAAAATTTAAAATGAAAGTATAAAAAAAAAAATAATAATTCACTCATTTGTAATAAATACAAATTTAAAAATAAAGAGTTAAAGCATTACTATCATTTTATTTAACAGAAAAAAACATACCCTTATTTGTGTACTCGTTTCACGTTCCAACATGTCGATTTCAGCACGACTGCCAACACGTCTCATAGGATGTGCCAATAGTTGTTGTTGTTGCTGCTGTTGTTGCTGGTGCAATTGCTGCTGATAAGCATTGTGCATTTCATATATATTACCACTTGTTCCATAATAATCCTGATTCATAAGACCACCAGCAATGCCAGCACTATTAGCACTACGATGTAAAGGTGTAGAGGTGGCATATGGTTCATTTAATGCTGCATTGCCTGCAGCAGTTGTATTGCGATCTGTCAACAATGTGGTTTTGGCATATTTCATATCGTGCGCTGTACCATAATAGGAGTTTTCTAATTTTTGCATTTGATCATAATTGTATTGTTGCTGCTGTAGTTGTCGCTGCTGCTGCTGTTGCAGTTGGGGATCCGAGGGATCTGGTTTAACAGTCAGATTGCCCTTAGGTAAGTTGCGTACATTTCGCACTGATATGGATGCTATACAAGTATTTGGTTTGAGGGTTAAAAAAAAAAAAGAAAAACACCAATATACAAAATTAATATTTTTTCATTAAAGTAGTTCATGCAGTATTCTATTTCATTGGAATGGAGGAATAATTAGAAAAGAAATAATAATTGCAATAACTAGAAAATTTGGATTTTGTTTTGTGTTTTTAAAATACATAAACAAACTTCTATTTTAATAATTAATTCTACTTTATGTGTATGAATTTAAAAAAAAAAAAAAAATAATAATAAAACAATTTAATGTGGTTTAAAACAAGGTTTTAAGACCGACTGTTGGGACAGGAAAATAATTTTAATATCCAAACTCTTTCAATAAGCAGTTTGTGAATTTAATCACTAAAAAAAATGCATAATTTGTGACTTTTAATTTTGAAATTTTTTTGACATTTACAGCAATAAATTACTCTTATATCGAAAATATAAAATATATTATGATATATAGTTCAAAAACCACGAATTTTAAGTTATATCAGTCTTTCAGAAAATGAGAAATATATACAAAAAGTGCCAACTCAAAAGCGAACAAGAAGAATATTTTATGTTATTTTTATTTTTGACATCTTTTTATTCTGACAGTATAGAATAAAAATAATACAAAATATTTTCCAACTCTTCTTGTTTGCTTGACATCAAATTTGGCATTGTTTGATCAGTATAAGTATTTTAAAATATTTTTTGAAAAATGTACTATTTAAAACTTTGTAGTCCTTTAAAAAGGACTCAGGATCACGAAATGAAAAATGCAGTTTTTCTCAATCCGGTTTGTCTCTAACGAATTGTTTATCTTTTTGTCGGACGGTGTAATAGTTTATTTTTAAAATTTTTAAAATATTTTAAAAGTATCGAAATCAATTTTGAAATTTTTGAAATTTTTTACTGAATTTAATTAATTAATAAATATTTTAAAGTAATCATAACAAGTTTAAAAATTGACAAAAAAGAACAAAGGCAAATATGTTGCGAACCACAAAAACATTTTTAATAAATACATAAATTTAATTTTTCTTACAATTAAACATAAATATATGTATGTATACATACAACAATAAAAGAATAATATTGCAAAAAAATAATTATAATTGATATTTAAACAATTTATACACATACATACGTACAAATGAAAAAAATATATATATATGAATTCAAAATATGTCTTACCATTATTTGTAGAACAATTGAAAAAACCAACAAAAATTCAACAACAACAACAACAATATTACAAACAAACAAAAAAATAACAATGACAACAACAATATGTTTACAAAATATATATATATATAAAAAAATTAAATTCATTTACAATTGCAAATTGTTGCCACAAAATGACAGCAACTTCAACAATAACAACAACAGCAACAATAATAATGCAGTAAGTGAATGACTGAAAGAATGACTGGCTGACTGACTGAATGAATGAATGTATAAGTGAGTAAGTGAGTGAATGAATGAATAAGTGGTAAAATTCTAACAAGGATAAATGTATAATTGTGTGAGAGAATAATTTGTAACAGTACTATAAATTGCAGTAGAGTATTGATAGTAATAGTTTACATACATACATATGTATAAACTAAGGATTATAATGGAATGAATGATAAAGATTTGTTTAACAAATTAATTTGCATTGGGTGATTGTTTTTCAAGTGTTAAAAGTGTACAAATAATTTATAAACAAATTTTGTTAAAGAAAATATACAAATATTAAACACAATTAAAAATAAACTAAAATAATTAATATTTCTATATTCGGAATGGCCGAATACTCAATTACTAAAGTTACTAAGATATGTTTTAAAACCAATAGCCCTAAAATATGCTTTATTTTCTATTTTCAACTCTCTGCAACTACCTTCTATGAATGACCCATAATTCCTAACATTAATTTATTTAATACATTTTATTTAAATGTATAATGGCCTTGTAGATATTTCGCCTGTTAAAATAATTTTTGTATTAAAACTCTTAATATATCGTTATGATAAAAAATAACTAGACAGGAAGAAAATAGTAGATCATTATTTGGAATGTCCTTAATTATAAAGTTTTTCTACTTGAAACGAAAGTTAAACTAATGGAATTGTAAAACTTGTTAACAGTTTTACACTTTTTAATTATTATTATATTTATAATGTTTGGAATAACTAAATATCTACCTATCAATTTAAAATTATCCAAAAAAATAATTATAAAAAACCAATAAAATTACTTAAACGAAATGAAAAGAAAGATCGTTCTTCACTAAGACCTCTTTTTTAGAGCTATAAAATTTAAAATGTACCACTAATTTTATTTCGAAAGAAATTGATTAAAGCTTTTTTTGTATGGAAGTTTTTCGTTGTTTTTTTTTTTTTTTTTAAGTTATAAGATTGTACTCAAAGTGTTTTATCACAGAGTTTTAATGCTACAAACATTACTGTTCTCATTTATTATCACTCATAATGTTTGGATTGCCATTGTTATCACAATTTGAATTTAATTGATCGATTATAGACTTAACATTACTGCTGGTGGTTGGACTTTGATCTAAATTTGTGGTTGTAAGAGAGTTTTTCATCAAACCACTTGACATTGAATCCCATTGTCGTATTGTTTCTCGATCAATTTCTGTGGATTTAGTTGAGGATATATTGGAAGAGGTTTCTTCGCGCAATACTTCATAAAGATCAGAATTAAGATCGTCTGGTGAGAGAATATTTTCGTTAAGCTGTACATAAACATCATGATCATTAGTTAAGATTTGAGAATCTTCATTTAACGATTGATCATCACATACCTCATCGTAGGTGTTCTGGGAATTTGGATTCGAATGGCGTAATTTAAAACTTGATCTCAAGTGTTGCGAAACATTGTCATTAACATAAGTTACATCGCGTGATAGACGTGGTTTTCTATTTCCCTCTGCAGCAGATAAATGAGTACGATTAAGAGTTGTTATTCGTGCTGGAATGACGGTAATACGATCTAGATCATCCAAAGAGCGTGCATGTCTCTGTGATACTCTACGCAGACTTTCTCGCCAAAGAGTATCTTCTTCCCAAAGTAATTCGCCACTTACCGGACCACCTAGAACTGTAGATTTATCCAAATTATTTGAAGGTTTTTGCATCTCATTCGATTTGGAATTATTTGCTGCAGCTAAAGTATTTTGTGCCACCAAAGCATTGTTACCCATTTGTAAATTGATATTTTTAGCATTTGTCTCAATATTGCCACAAACCATGTTACTAGTGTGTGTAGTGGTAGTAGTTGAAGATGGGGATGATGTTGCTGATGTTACAGAAGTGGTGGTCAATAAGGCTGGTGAGGTCGTTATGGCTGATTGTGTTATGGACTGTGAGTTGGGATTAGTCCCATATATTGTATTTAATGTTTGTTGATGTCTTAAATTAATCTTATAGTTATTTATTTTAAAAGCTGGATTTTGTATTTGCTGTATATGAAATGTTTGGGCGCCAAATGATGTAGATGGATTGGAGGTATTATGATGAAATGTTTCACCAGTTTTTAAGTTCTTACCCGAACTATAACTTAATTTTTCAACATTAGTCTTCATTTTGTATAAATTTTTACTATCTATAGCTTGGTCTTTATCGGCCAGAATTTCCATGTTGATATTATGTGCTCTTTCTATGGGGTTATGAATATGATCTATATTGGAACCTTGGGCATGTATATCTCTTTGATTATTCAAAGTGGTAGGAGTAGACAAAAGTTCTCTACTGCTGCTCAATTCCGAGTAGTAATATGGAACTGATTGTTCTGATATATTGCTGTTATTACGACTATGTAAAGGTGTCATGTATCTGGTGGGAGTAACACTGGTGGCTCCCATCACATCGAACTGATCATTGGGCCCTTCTAGTTTTTGCAAAGAATCAGTGGAAGATACAAAGTGTATATTACCATAGAAATGTTCATCATCTTTATTACGAAATATCTTAGGAGGCTTTATAAGATTTGTCAGAATACCGGCTCCTTGTGCAGCAGCCGCATCTGTTAAAATGGCTGTGGCAGACGTTTCAAATTTTGTATTCTGATAGAGATACAAATCACTATTTTGTAAGTCATTAAGATAAGTATCCAAATCGGCCGTTTCTAAAGCATCTTCAAATTTTTCACTTAAAGATTCAATTTCACTTATAGATTCCTCTGAAAGTGGTCTTCGTGATCTCTGTCTTTCCAACTCAGAATCAGATCCCTGTCTATGGCGAAGCTCTACAGTATCTGTTTCACTATTATTACCAGTACCTGGTAGGGAAGTCTTTTGTTGGCTTAAGCTCAGCGAAGAATTCGATTGGTAACGTATAGGTGTGGCAATGTAGGAGGGAGAATTTTGTTTCAACTTATTATAGAGATCAAAATCGGATGAATTATTTGAACTGTTATCTGTTTGGAAGCTATAATTAGAATCGGATAAGGTTCTTTCATGTTGTTTTAACATTAGCAAATGTGGTGGCGTTTTAAGGTTTTTAGCTTTGCTGAATTGATCGGGAAGTGAAAGACGGCTAGATTTTAGAGCAGCCTCATTTTTAGCAAAATTAAGAGATGAATTACTGGCGTGCATTTTCGGCAATTGTTCATAGGAAATATTAAATTTACTACCCGAAGAACTGTCCCTACGCTTGACAGTGTCATAGTTTTCAGCCGAAAATATTTCCTCGGTTTTTAATTCTTCCATGGGTGGTGGTGAGTTGGGTATAGGTGGAGGTGATACTATTTCACTATCCGAACTTTCTATACAGTTATTAAGAGGCGTTGAAGCTCCCAGGTAGTAAGAGGCTGGTCTGAAAGTATCTGATAAACTGAATCTAGTGCGAGATCTCATTTTTTTCGAATCCATATGTTTAGAGGATTCATCATCAGCATCTGAACTATCCGAATTAAGGACCATGGAATTTTGTGGCGGTTTTAAAATATCCGGTAAATCTTTACGTTTATGTTGATTGCGATCTTGCTGGGATTTTTTCGACTTTTTTTTCAAAGTGTCGGATGATTTTTTCGATTTCTTTAATGTTGATGTTTTACCCAATGGTAACAGTGTGTCTTCTTTGGTTTCAGGTGATTTTTGAGCTGGTTTGCCACCTTGCAATTCCATGTATAATGGTTCATTCATAATTTTTAATTCCTTCGGTTTACAGCCGGTCTCATTGGAGGGCGAATTAGATGAATTATTGAGGCACATTATTTCATAATTATTTTTGGAATCTTCATCTTGCAATTGTTTTGTCATTTCCACATAATGGTTTTCTTCTTCCTCATTAGTAGAATCTAGTAGAGATACCAAAGTTAAAGTTCCACCAGCATTGTTTGACTGATCTGATTCAATTTTTTTGGGTGTCATAGGCAAATAATGTGACTCATCTAAATTGTGTTGATGTTCTTGCGGAGTCATTGGTTCATTTTCGTATATCTTGGAAAGTTCCTTGTCATCAGCTAAATCCTGATCAATTTGTGTGGTATCCATAGTAGTATCTTCCTCTACATCAGCCTCCTCGGCTAAAGCTTCATCTAAGTCATCGTCGGTATATTCACAAGTTGTGTCTTCATCATCTTCCTCTTCTTCTAGTACATGCTGAGTGTGGTCCTCTTTTTGGGAATCAATGATTTCTTGGGTGGGCGTAATAACATCATCTTCGGTGGTTTGTGTCTCTTCTAAGGTCAGCTGTAGTTTTAGACGTTTTTCTTCCTTTTCTTTAAAACGTTTTAGACTCATTAGCATTGGTGTAGCCTCCTCATCTTGTATAGCTTCTGTTTCGTTCTTAATACTCTCCAAATCTTCAGCAGTTTTAAGATTTTCACTATTTTTAATTTCGATGGCATCACATTTCAATTGGGTTTCAGTATCACTTGCGAAAATTTCGACATCTTTAGTAGATTTTCCATCTCTTATAAATGATTCACCAACATTTGGCTGATTTTGTTTATTGAAGTCAAACCCTGGTATTTCAATATTTTCATAATTATTAGAAATGGTTCGTAATTTTGTCGGCACTACGGTTTTGGTATTATAAACTGGTACATACGAAGAAATTTGTGGCGAAGTAGGCTCATTATTGGTCTTCTCATCTAAAGCAATTGCTATGGCATTGGGTATTTTAGGCAGAGTTATTTTGGTTAAGGGACTTGAGCTATCTAAACTATCTTCTAATTCAGATGGGAAAAAGATACCAGATGGGGAAGTTTCGCTTGGAACTGGTTTAACATTAATTATTTTAGTTTTTAAAATAGGTTTTAATATTCTAGGCACTTGTGGTGTTGTTGCATTTGTTTGGGATACGGTTGCAGTAAAGGTCGAGTCAGTTGAGCCAGTCGAAAAAGAAGTCATTGCATAGTCTGCAATATCTTGTGCTTGTTGTTGTGTATCATTGATTGCAATTGTTTTCTTTGGTCTTGTTATTATTGTACTGTCATTGTATAACTTGTTTGTTGCATTGTATTTTTCAAAAGCATGACCATCTTCCGACTTTAGGTTAGAAGTGGTCAAAATATGTTTTGGTTTTTGGGTGGTATTTGTGCTGATTTTAGTGATGGTGGAGTTCGTTATGCTAGAAGAGGTTGTGTTGGTAATAAATTTAGTACTAGTGTTGTTGCCATATTCTGAAGTTTTGGCACGTAGAGAAGACCTTCCTGCCGGCGCTTTCATAATCGTTCCAGCTGTGTATTTGATTATTTCGATTATGTGGTATTTCGATTTAACATTTTGTTTATAACATTTATTTATTTTTTACATACAGTGTCATTTTAAAAGTTTTTTTTTTATAAACATTTAAAATAAAAACAAGAGAAAGAAAAAATTATGATTTCATTAAAACAGAAAATACTAATTAAAAAAAGTTAAGAAAAAATTAATGAAAAAAAATCTTTTGAAAATAAATATAACAATGATGATAATTTAGTGCGAAAACGAACAAAAAAAATTATATAGTTAAATTAAAAGAAAAATTAAACCGATAACCCAAGAATTTTATTTGAAAAAAAAAAAAATAATAACAATTAACTACAGGAAACAAAGTGTAAATGGCATGAAATTTAAAAACCGTTCACCCCAAAGAAAATTAAAATTTGAAAAATATATATTAATGAGTTTTTATTATTACTTTTTTGCAAATAACAAAAATCCAATTCCACAAACTAAACAAAAATCTAAACATTTATTCTAAATATAAGAAAAATATAATGTGAAACAAAATAATAATTAAAAAATATAAAAAATTGTTTTTAAATTTTACTGTAACAGATCTTAAACTAATCAGTTCTTTTAATGTTAAAGGTATAGTATTTCAATAGGAAAAAATTATATTCTGGAATTTAAAATCAATTCAATTTGTTAGGAAATATTTAATTTTGAATCCTATTTAAGACTGTGATATAATCTAGAAGCATGAAGGATTTGAGTTTTGGAAATATTTTAAAATAAAAACAGAAAATCATCTAAACAAGTTGGTTTCTATGTACTATTTCGATTTGTGATATAATGTATTTAACATACTAATTCTAACATTTTTCTTTCGAATTGTATAATAGAGTAAATTTCCCGTATTCGATGCTATTACTCTAAAACTATTTATCATATTTAATTACTAAGATTATTTGATCGATTCTATTAAAAACAATATTAAAGTAATTAAAGTAAATTAAATATAAAAATTAAACTTGTAAACTTTTAGTTAATATTAAAATCTAACATTTTTATTCTCTACTTAAATAAAACTTCTAAAGTGTATTTAAAAAAATAAATAATGCTAATAAATTTATAATTCTATTTTACTAAAATATTTAGTTGTGTAGTTACTTTGTATTATTAAATATTTATGTAAATAATCGGTAATTATTGTAATGTATTGTTAATATATATGTATTTTGGTTTTTTTTATGCAATTTTTCCTTTTTTATAAACTAATTAATAGTTTGGTTACAAATACCATTTTTTTATTATTTATTATTATTTTTATATTGTTGTTAAAACGCTCGGCAGGAAGGCTCTATTGTTGTTGAATTTTGTTTATTTTTTCCGTTTTTTTTATAAAGTAGTAATAGTGCTTGAAAGTAATTCTTTATAAATGATAAATTTCAAATGAAAAAATAAAGAAACATACAAAAGTAAAATAAAAAAAGAACAAACAAATTTTGGCGATAGATTTAGAGTTGTTTTAAGCAATTAAGGATAGTGCAGCCAATATAAATTTCCCATAAAATAATCCTTAACCATATTTGAATTAACAATAAAGGATAATGATACTATAAAAAAGGAAGCAAAGGAAATTCTCATTTAAAATTAGAATTTAAAAGGAAACCTAAATAATTTGATTGATTTTATTTTAACTAATGAAATAGAGACAAATTAATTTGTTAAAAAGATTTTTATAGAAAAAACCTGGTTTAAGTAGTAATTTGTTTCTCATTTGAATATATACTAAAATTTTCTTCTTAATTATGCTTATAAACATGAGCTGTGACGTTTACAAGAAAAAATCATTCTAACTTCGATAATAATAGAAATTTTTAAAAATATATAGAACCACAGAACTTTATAACGGTGTATATTTTCTACTCAGTTCAAAAGTTATGTCAGTCTGAAGTAAATGTAACGTTTTTATATGTATATGTGTATATATTTATAATTTATTTTTTTCAAATGTAAACCGATTTTTTCGGTTCAAATCTAAACCGATTCGAACACATATATTGTATTCGACAACAATTTAGTCATTATAAGATTTGACCGAATCTTATGACTTGTTATATACATATAAATACTATATACACTCAAACCTCGTTTTATGCGATTAATTCGTTTCGTAAAAAAGCGCATAATTCGAATTCGCACAAAACGATACACTAGATCCATACAAAATCCACTAATTGGGTTTTAGATAAAAAAGCGCACATTTTCAAATTATTCCCTTAAAAGTCAAACAAAATCGCATATAAAAAATTAAAAAAATTTAATTCTTTACTGAAACCATAAAAAATAAAGGAAACAGACAACAAAATAATACCAATTCCAAATAATGAAGAAAATATACAACATTTCTTAAAAATAAAACTTAATATTTCTTCATGTACAAAGGATTTGAACAATACTTTATATATCCGAACCGGAATTGGTAAAAAATCAGTAGTTGTACTTTGTTTATCACTTTTTTTGAATGTATGTGGACCAAAATTTTCCTCAAAATCATTTTTGCAAGAAAAATTTTAGAATTTTGAAACCGCACTAATTCAAATTCGCATAAAACGAGGTTTGAGTGTAATATGAATATTAGGGTGATTTTCGGGAGAGGGCTTTTTATAGAGACTTGGGGGTAAATTAGAGTTTTTAGAATTAGATAAGTATAACAAATAGTTTTGTCGAATTTTTTTTCATAGTTTGATTTTTAAAAGATTATCTGATCTTCTTCTAAAAGTGTTATGCCATGACCAATTATGGACCAAACTTTTTTTTGTTAGAGAGATTTTGTTTCATAAAAAACTTCTTTACAGCAAATTCTACTTGTATTATAAAAGTTATGGCTAGATCGTCCTAGAATCTAAAAAGGATTCTAGAGAAATGTTATAGACATAATGTTAAAATCTCATCAAAATGTAAGGATTTATAAAATTATATAATATGTATTTTCTGTTTATAAATAAAAATCTAAAATTGCAAAATATGGCTTAGTTAACCGAAATTTAAAATTCATTTTGCGTTGCATAATAATAAAAGATATAAAATATATAAATTCTATCTTAGTAATTTAAAACATGGACCGAACTATTTTTTTTTTTGGAATTTTTAGATCTTAGTTTGTCACTGTATGTATTTTGTAAATCTCATATTGGTAGAGGGTAACTTGAGAAAAGTTTTATATATTTTTTAAATCTTATTAAGATTGAAATATTAACCATGTTTTAGTTAAATATAAATAAGACTAAAATGGTTTCCAAATATGGAACAGATTAAAACAGCGAATAACACTTTGAAGCGAAAATAACTCAGGATTCAAAAGACATTGTAAGCTTTAAAGTATATAATGTTAAAAAAGTTGCAATACAATTGGAAACCTCTGTATAAGATTTAGGCAAATGTGTTCAAAATGAAAAAGTAGATGAAGAGACAATAGTGAGAAATATAGCAACATTATATTGTATATCATCTAGAGAAGATTTCCAGTATTCTGTACCAATAATTTTATAAATTATATAAAAAATGCTTAGTCCAAGTTTAAGATATATAAAATTAAAATATAATTTTATAAACAAAAGGTATTTTTGTTTAAAAATTAGTATAAGTTAAGATTTAAACCAGAAAACAAAGAAATAATACTTTCTAAAGAAAAGCATTATCCTGTAATAACCTACGTCACTACTATTTATACGCGTAATAAATGATCAAATTCAATTTAAAAATATTTAAATATTTTGACTTAATCTTTGCCAAAAAAAAAACTTAATTAAAAAAATATAACGCTGAATATCAGCTGAAATATCTTTCTCGCTAAAATGTAATTACAAAAAGACCAACATTTCTATATTAAATATTAAAGTTAAAAACAAATCTAATAAATGTGGAGGAAAAACTAAAATATGCATATAAAAAAAACATTTAGCAAAGCAAATAAAATTCTAACAAATTACAAAGTTAAAAACAAACACACGCATACACAAAGATTACAAACATAGAAAAAAGTATAGACAAAGAGGGTGGTGGTACATAGAAGAAGAGAGATATATAGACAGAAGCTTAAAGGATAGAAAAATATTTTAAAATGTAAAAAGCAAGCTAGTAAATACACACAAATATACTGTATAATAACAAAAATATAAAGGTTAAAAGCACAAAAAAAGAACAAATTAATGCAAACGCAAAACTAATCCTTTTTCAAGGGTTTGTATTTTTAATTTAAGCCATAAAATATACGAATAATTTACAAGTTAAATATCCTGAAAGAGTATACATAGAGACTACATAGAGTAAGATGTAGAGATATTCAAAATAGTCATAGAAATAGATGGGGAGAGAGAGAGAGAGACAGAGAGTAAGAGCAAAATAGGGGGAATGAGATAAATAGGTAGGGATTTTTTTTTGTAAAAAAAAAAATTATTAAGTATACAAATTACAAATATAACGACTACTCAGCATATTTGAGCCTTAAAAAGGTTTTTTTTTTTTTGTTCAAAGAAAGCAAAAGTACATTTCTCATATTTAAATTATGTATAAACTATAGTCGTTTTATTTGTAATTCAGCTCAAGTTCTTAAAAAATATTTATTTTTATTTAAGAGCATGTGGTTGAGTGCAATAATTTAAAATATGTATACTCTAACTTACCTTCATCGTCCGAGGAATAGGAATTGTAACCAGCAGTTGGTCCTGTATTGGCATGTGTCTCAGAACGACTACGTTGTATGCCACCAGTCGAACTAGTTGCGGATGAGATGCCTCCTTTTGTGGTTGTTACAGTATTAGGATAGTGGGCTCCACTGGCCACAGCTGTAGAGGCCAATAGAATATTGGGATTACTGCCCAATTTAGACATGGCTGATATATTACTAGTGCCTGCAATTGGTTGGCCACTTTGTGAGGCAGACGATGTAGAATGTTGACCGCTTTTACGTGTAAGAGGTGATTGTAACATACGCTGTTTCCATTCCAATAAACGTTTCATAGACTCTTCGCGTTTGCGCTCGCCATCTAGGTGAGAGGTGGGTGTTGTTTGTGTTAAACCACCTGCTCCTCCGGCCACAGCTGGAGGTGAGGTTGTGCCTGTGGGTGGAGAAGTTACTGTAGTAGAAGTGGTAGGAGTAGTAGCTGTTGATGAGGGTTCATCGTCAAATGTCGATGAACGTTTAGGTAAACGAGCACTAGCTGAACGTAGGAACTGTTCATTTTGTTGAATAATTTGTTGAGTTGTGAGACCGGATGAAAGTAATGACGATTGTGACGTTTGTTTTTGTTGGTATGCCGGCGATTGGCCTAATTGTAATTGCTCTGGTTGTAGTTGTTGTTGTTGCTGAGATGGTGGTGATAGTGAATGATGAGGATGAGTGGAGGATGAACGAATTTGTGAACCATTACCCATTGTTTGTGAACGACTCATACGTGGTATGCTAGTATGTCCTGCTTGATTACCTAAAGCATCTTGTAACAATTCATTACGTTTATAGGTCCTTTCATAAGGATTCTCATAACCGATTGTATTCATACCACTCGCTACAGGACTAAGGAAGTCCGTAGATCCACTTGTGGTACGATATGTACCCGCTTGCTGCGGTTGAGCCTGGGGATTTTGTAAATACAATGCGCTCTTGCGCATTTTTTCAGCATAATTTTCCTCAGAATAATAAAAGCTATCTGGTGTACGATTAATGTCTAGACTGGATTTGGGTCGTGGTGCTCGCACTGGATCTGGCTTAATCATTGAGGCTGTGGCAGCTATGGCGGCAGCATCTGCAGCCGCTTCAGCTCTGGCTTCATACTCTAAAAAGTCGGCCGAATGTGGACGTACTATGGCAGCTGCGGGTCTGGCTCTTATATTGCTGCCAGCAGCACTGTGTCCAGGTGATGACTACAAAAAAAATAAGTAAAAAATTAAAAAAAAGTACTCCAAAGTTTCTCCTGTTTCTTCTATTTATAATTTGGTTATTTTTAAGTTAAAAGAAATTTTAAAGTACCTACAGAAATTACAAATATACTTCTTTATTTTTGTTTTATTACAATCCTTCCTTTCTACACACACACGCACACAATTTTGTATTTTTAGTTTTAAAAACCCTCTTAAATCCTTAAAAGAAAAACTTTGTCTTCTGTAAACATGTTAAAACTTGCAATTTCTGAATATATAAAAAGTGAAAACTTCAAGAAATAATGTAGTTTAGCACGAGTTCATACGATTTTTTTTTCTTTATTTTCTTAAAAACTTGAAACAACAAATTAAAAGAAAAATATGTATGTAGGTGGTATACATACATAAATATCTATATGAATGTGCACATTGGGATGCAAAACGCACATAAATGTCCTCCACTGACCTATAAAATCATTCAACAATGAACTATAAAACACATTTGCATACATACTGTAAATACTTAGTGATTACATATTTACATATTTAGAATTATATAAAGGGTTTGCCAATAGAGGTTATGGGTTTAATGGAATCAAAGTTATTATAATGTATAACTTTTCGCTGTTTTACAAAAATTTCTAAAAAAAAAGTTCTCACATTGGGAAATATGTATGTAGATTATAAGAGGTAATTTATGGCCGATTTTTAAAAGATTTCGGCGGTTATAACTTTGATTAGTTTCGTTAGGGTCACATCCTAACGAAACAGTCCAGAACATGAAAGAGTCTAGCTACAAGACTCAGTCAGTGCTCTTAAAGAGTGAGACATTCACATAAAAGGTGTAGTACCTCTTTTTTTTATCTAAACAATTCATTTTCTTTCTAAAACCAAAACAATAAATGAATTAAAGAAAAAAATTTAAATGATATCTACAATTCATGTTTTAACAACTCTCCACTATTACGAAACATGAAAATCCTTTAGAGAATACTACAAGGCTTCAATGTGAACACGTACAGTGGAATTAGCAAAAAAGAAATGAATTGTTCACGTGTTAGAAATGTGCACGTAAGATAGTGGGTGGGAGTATATTAAACACCTACACTACTACATACGTACATTTATATTACAAAAGCAAACAAGAAATTATAGTTGCTCCTGTTGGCAGTAAGATTATCTATAGAAGATATGGGTATTGGGACTATTCCTATAATGATCCGATTTCTGAGCGAATTGTACATAATATGCTGGAACAATACTGATTTACCTTAAGACCGACATATCTAATCTAATTACTTACTACAAACGGTGATTGGCCAATAATTGGCCTATCCTCATAAAAGGCGAGTTTATGTACATATGTGTAATGAATTCAGTCCCCAGCAGTTCGACAAAGAGTCAATGCATTCGAAAAAGACAGTGATTTTCACTAACGTCTAACCACCTGATTGGCTCTAATTCGGCCTTGGTCACGGATGTACTCTTTGTAAACGAGGGTGAAGATAATCGTCACTTTAGTGTCTCCTTTGTAAGCGAGAGAGTGGACACTTAAAAAACAAACTTAAGCTTTTTGTCTGCCTCTTTTTAATCTATGGTGTGACGATTGACTTACTCGTAGGACAAGCACATGTTAAAATAGCTAGTCACCTGGGGACTTGATGGCTAGTATTACCCCTAAGTGGTTGGTTGGTTCGTTGGTCACTGTAGTTGTCAATTATGAACTTTCGAGCGAAATGGATCGATCTCGTCCTTGGTCAAATAAAATATAGTTATTTTTAATATGTATTACGATTTGTAAATGGATTAGATAGAAGGATGGCTAGTATTACCCCTAAGTGGTTGGTTAAATAGGGACTGTCCGACCAAACCTCTGGGTCACTGAAGTAGTCAATTATGAACTTTAGAGCGAAATGGATCGATCTTGTCCTTGAATGACATATAAATATATTTAACATGTAAATGGATTAGATAGAAGGACAGGAAAGGATTAATCTACTGGATGTGAACCAAGATATGTTTGATTGTTACAAACATTGACACAAACGCATAATACCCTACCCACTTTTATATATGTATAAAATTTAAATCTAACGATCTATGCTAGTGTTAGTTGTAACAGCAAAACAACACGTTGTATGTAAATGTGTTGTATGCAGATGCTTTTTTATCTGTTAGTGTTGCTGATTGTTAAAATGTAGGTTGCACTTTATATTCAAGTTACATTGTGAATGGATGGTTGGGTGGGTGGTTGGTTGGCTGGTTAGTTGTTTGTATTCTGGGAGGTGGCAGTGTTTTTTACATACATAAATGAATGAGTGTGTTACTACGAATTTTGTTATAATGTCATACCTGCTACTTTCATCTATCAAATGAAAGTTGTTTGTAACTACAGGCTGTTTGTTGTTATTTTCTTGTTTGCTTGTGTTGTTGTTGGACTAAGGATGAATGTAAATGAATGTTTCCCTTTAAGCCGTTGCTACTACTGACACACTAAAAGTCTAATTAAAAGTTCAACTCATGTCTGTAACAAGTCTTTTAAACAAATAACTAACAACAAAAATAAACACAAACACATCATGGATTAAATGGGGTCTTTATAGGTTTTTGATTCTAAAATAGCAAAAGAAACTAAACCTGTTTTTTTTTATGAGTAGTAAACAAATTGTTGACAACCCTTTAAATTGCAAATTGGTGTCACTTTTCTTTTTACATAGTTTCTTTCTGGGCTAAACTTCTTTTTAATTACAAAGGAAACGTACGAAAATTTAAGAAATAACAAAATGTCAAAAAGTTTAAACATTTAGTCCAGCATTAATGAAGATATAATTTGTTTATTTATGGTTTATTAAGCTTATGATTTATTAACTTTATTCCACATTTCTATAAAAAACCATCAATAACTTTATTAAGCTTTTAACAATTTCAATTAGAGATGTTGATAATCTTGTTTTTTATATTTCAAATCAAGAACTCATTTCATCTTCTAACAATTTTATGGATAATTTTCAATTTTTTGGAAATATTTGATAAATTTATAAATTTTAGATAAATTCTCAAAAAAAAAAAATTCTCAGGAAAAGTTCGTCATTAAATGAATTTATAGCAAATTTTTCATGAATTTTCCATTTTCACTTATTGATTTAAAATAAATGGAAAGTTTCTAAAAAAATTGTTTTAATAAATTCTTTGATATATGAACAAATCATTTTAATCCTACATCTAATGTCCTTGTTAACTTTTTATCAAAAAATACACACAAATCCCAAAAATTACTTTTAATTGCCAGATTATCTTTTCTGCATTTCAATTAAATGCTCAACTACATCTACACATTTTCGCAAAGGTACAAATACTACAAAAACAAGCAACTAAAATTTCATTCAATAATTTCCAAAGAAACCTGTACATTTGAGAGTTATGTTCTACATCCTTGTTTTGTTTTTTACAAATGCGAATAGAAACTAAGTAAGTTTAAGTGTAGAAATAAAAGGAGAAGTCCACTTCGTAAAATTGGTTCAAACTAGATTCGGTCACTATACCTAAATAACCAGTCAAGGGGCTAGTTGTTTTTCCTTTACAAATGTTTTAAAGAATTAAGGGTTTTTGAATATATATTGTGCTTTTAATGAATATGATTTCATCAGCTGCTGTTTTGTATTTCTCCTGTATTGGGTTCTTTTATCAAAAACAATTCCCAACAAGTCTTACATAAAGCTTTTAAATATTCTTTTAAGAATTGTAGATAGTTAAGAAAACAATGTAGAACTAATTTATGTATCTGTGGTTGTAAATTGCAATGTAATGCTTTTGCATTGGTACATGCTCTAATCAGCGTAGGTGTGTTGTAAAAGGTATATATTTCCCAGCAAACGCGTAAAAAGATAACAGTTGTTGGAAAGGATAAATCAGATCCCGTACACGTTGACCACTATCGGGTCTGTTGTGCGTTCCTTAACTCGAGTCTCTAGTAGAAGTCAAACCAACGACCTACGTATTGAAACAACACAACCAATTAATCTACGGCGGCACTTAATTATATTAAATAGTACAATTTTGGAAAAATTTTTTTTGGAAAAGTTGGAATTTTTGAAAATATTTCATAAAAATATAAATTTTTGGATTTTTTTTTTTGGAAAATTATTGAAATTGATTAAAAAGTATGAAAAGATAATAATTTCAAAAATTGTTCACTTTTAAGAATGTAATAATGGCCATAGACATTAAGATACTTTTAATTTAGAAAAGTAGGATTAGTGAAAAAGTCTTCTACCTTTGGTGTATATTGCCTTTTGAACATAAGGTCATAAAGGCAATATTTCGTAAAGGCATTTATTGACTATAACTTATGGACCAAAGATTTGGGAAATTTTAATTTACTGAGGCAACGTTGTAGTTCTTGTCATAAAGAACAAAAATTGTAAATGTATAAAATCAAAAAAAATTTCATCTTCAAGATCAAAATTGCAAAAAACCTTTAAAAATTTCGATTCGAATTTTGTAACCTTTTTTCCCTGTTTAGGCAGCAAACCGTTCAATACTCAAGGAAACAATCGACTACAAAATTTATCTAAGATCTCAATAAAAAACTTTCTAGAACATATGAACTTTCTAGAAATGATTCTTAACACCGTTTAGCTAGCGCAAAAGTGAAAAGTATACGTAGGTAGTACGTAAATTTGGGGCACACAATTTTAAAGATTGCTCAAATACTTAAATCTGGGAGCGTTTAAATTTTTCACTTATCCGATGTACCCCATTTTTGAGAATTTAAAATGTAACTCTAACTCAACAACATTTTTTGATTTCAAGAAGAAAGTTTTACATTTTAAAATGACACTGCTTTTATTAACGACACCTGTACGTATACGTGTTATTGATTTATTGATATTACAAATATTAAGTATACGCCTAATTTAGAGAATCGCTTTAAGATGTAAACGCTCGCTTTTTTATTGTGTGTTGCGTCTCTTGATGTGTTTACTGCTTTGTCTGTGCTGTAGCGGTCGGTGCGTGATCACGATGTTGCGATTTTGATCTAGAATTTTTTTGATATTATACATTCACAATATTTATTCCTTATGACAAGAGCTACAATTAAAATTCTGAAAGGTTTGCAAGATATAAACCTGAGAAATTTATCACTTTTTTTCCAAAATGACACCGAGGCCCATAAAAAGTGCACGACTTTGGGCAAAACTGGGAGACACAGGTATTTTTGTTGGTCTTTTATGTCCCTATACGGTTATATTTCCATGACATAAAAATTTACACACATTGTAATGATGTCCATGAAAATAAATAATCAATACTTGTTAGGTGCAGTAAATTTAAAATTTACACAAGAAATCTCAATTTTGTCAATTACAATACTAAAAAGAAGTTCAAATAAATAATTATACCCTACACCACTTTAGTGGGGAGGGTATATTGGATTTGTGCTGATGTTTGTAACATACAAAAATATTCGTCATAGACCCACCTTAAAGTATACCAATCGGCTTAGAATCGTTTTCTGAGTCTATTAAGCTATGTCCGTCCGTCTGGCTGGCTGTCCATGTAAACCTTGTGCACATGGTACAGGTCGCAATTTTCAAGATAATTGGATGAAATTTGGCACGCACGTTTTATTTGACCCAAGGACGAAGCCTATTGCAAATGGTTAAAATCGGTCCATTATTTCACCTAGCCCCCATAGAACAGAACCCCCTTCATAATTATGTTAAATATACAGATATATCGATAAAATACGGCACAACTAAGTTTTATAGAAGTCTTGATAACCCTGCCAAATTTCATAAAGATCGGGCCCCATTACAAAGTCCCCTTCAGAAAATAACTTGAATGTCCCAAATTAACTTATAAACACAAATATCGCGATGAAATTCAGCACAACAAATTATTATGTAAATATAAATATATTCACAAAATTTTATCGGGCTTGGTCCATATTTGCCCCTAGCCCCCATATAAAGCCTCTTTCAGAAAATTAGTTTTTCATCCATAAATTGCTTAAATGTATCGGAATAAGGGAATATTGAAGATAAATGCTTTATTATGAAAAATAAATCACATTTAATATTCATAACTGGTGTAGGGTATCATATGGTCGGGCACGCCCGACTATACTTTCTTACTTGTTTTTTGTTGTAATTACTAACAATTTCTCTTGTTTAGAATTACAACATTTTAAACAAGAAGATTTTGTACAAAGTGAACTGGTCAGGAATAAGATTTCAACTAATTGAGTCAATTTCATAGAATCTTAGAATTCTTTGTTAGATAAACACTAACTTTTAACAAAATATTCAAGCATTCAAGATTTTTCTTAAAAAATCTCGTAATTAATTTTAATAACACACAACCGGTGATATCTGAGAAAAAGAACCTACAATTTATAAAGCTCTTTCGGTAAATTCTTTATATTGTATTTCTCTTATACTTCGTGCTAAATAAATTCATTTAAAATCATGAAAAACATAAATTAAGTTTTTGCTCTATCGCTCTAATAATGAAAAAAGTATGTCATTTAGTATACAAAGTATGGTGCTACAAACTTTTTATGCATTTCCCAGTAAAGTCCATTTTTTCTCCTTCTTGAAAGAAAGTTATAAAAAAAAAAGAAAATAAAACTGAATGTTTGCAGAGAATTGTTGCTAAGTTGGTGGTACTTTAAAGTATACAGCTCTATTAAGAATGAGAAATAGTGAAAAAAAAGAAAATTTCAAGAAATACCTGAAGCCAAAGAATACAAGGACTATGATGTGTAAAAATAGCAAAAAGAATCCTTTCCTTTAACCAAAGGCAAAATGCAAAAAAAAAAAAAAGGAAAATTAAAAACATACTTTGAAGAGATGACGCAAAAGGACGCATTAAAATGAAAAAATATATACATGCACATACATATATTTTAATTTTAAAGAACTATTTATAAAATTATGTTTAAAAAATTATATTTTAAATTGTGCATTTCTAATTTTCCAATTGTATTAAATTCAAACTTAAAATCAACACCAGCACAACCCTTTGGGGGGTTGTTGGCACACATTACATTTGTTACCACAGTACAGAGGTGAGTGCTTTTTTTAGATTTGTTTCTACTTCAAACTACATTTAAATCTTTTGGTAACACGCATATGACACGACCTATTTCCTGCAGGTATAGTACACATGATGACTCTTTTCTTCTATGTGTTATATGCAATATTTATACAATACACTATATTTTTCATTCTTTCATTCTCCTTCTTTATTTTTTTTGCACTTTTCTTCTTTTTAATATATTTTTTGAATATGCTGGTCTTGCAACAATTGAAAGTGTGTTTGTGTATAAGTGTACTATATAGTTGTATATAAGTTTGTAGCATGTTTTTATACCAAGATTAAAGCAATACAAAAAATTGTAGATTGTACCCTATATCCAAAATTTATATTATATAAATATGTACAGTTATAGAACTTAAAAGAAGTGGAAGATACTTTTCTATGGTACAATTTAAATACAAACAAATAGGAGTGTTATATTCGACTATGCTGAATTATTTATACCTACCATCAAACCCATGTCATATATCAATCTCAGGGTGATTTTTGAAACGAGAGCTTGCGTCAATTATGGACCAAACTCTTTGGAATTGGAAAGAAAGCTTAATGTCCAATAACATATCATGTGGGGTAGGGTCAACTACACAGGCCGACAAATTTTTAACCCAGAGACCAAGTATGCTTTTCTAAATTGCGCGGTGCTGAATACGAACCTTAGAATTTCTCCATCATATCTGGGATTCGAGATGTCGTGTCCTAAAGCTTGAAATTATGGCACTTTTGGCCGTGATAACAGTGTCAAGACAACTTCGTTTATAAAATGTTGTATGTCATCTGAAAACCCATTCAAACCATTCAGATTTAAATTAAAGACTTAACATCTGACATATCTTCTTTCTTTTTCCAGATTTCTTTACCTAAAGCATGAAAACTCATGGTTTTCGTTATATCCACGGTATTCATTTTCAATATCAATAAAATATTTTTACTTTTCACGTATTCAGTAAATTTATACTCATCGTTTAAGAGGTATTGCTACAAAAAAGTGGTCCATGGGACAACCTATTATGCATGTTATAAACCCTTTTAAGAAAATAAAAGTCCAGATAATAGGAAATATATAACTAAAGTTTTAGTAAAATCCCATAATGTTAACTCATAAACTGTGAGTGTCAATGTCAAATTAGGAAACTGTCTTGAAATCGTATGAAATATTATTTAGTTTCAACCGATTTATATATTGTATTTTCAATGTCATATTGCGAGAAAATTGTTAGTGATAAAAAGAAACTGACATCAAATTCATAAAAATCTGTCGAATTGGTTTTTAAAGTGTTTACAAACCTCGATTTTGTTGGCCTGTGTTACTTTTATTTTACAAAAATACACTAAACTGTATGTACTACAGGGACTATTTTACCAAGAAACATTATATGTATGAGGGTTTAGAGAATATGAACGTGTGTAAGTATGTTTGTACGCAAATCTCATATCAATGTTGTAAGGAGCAAATGTTAGGATTTAAACTAACTCCATGAACCTCATTCAACGAAGACGAAGGAGTGTTGTATTTCATTTAATGTCATGTCTGTAACGTAGTATGTCAAGGAATAGCCATTGGGGGATATATTTTTCAACCCTTCGAAAAAAAGCTACAACTTTAAAAAGCCTTTTAACACAAAAAGACATTTCAAAATATTGATTAATTTAGAATAACATTCTCATAAATACAAGTAAATTTTGTTTAATATTCAATTAAACTTACCTCCAAATTATTAGGTGTATAACGCGACGACATCGCAGAAGGTACATGTTTATTGCCCTCATAGCTAGGTGGCGATAAGGGCCGACGATAACTGGCTGCCTCTTGCATTAAAGCTTCCTGAGCTGATGGATTTCCTGCGCCTGCAGTCAAATTGTAAATATCTTCATAATCCGAAAACATACGATTTTTCGAACGGCCATAGGCATCGGGTGTTCGACGTTCGGCTGCCGAGACATAGGCCGACATATGGGGTGGATAACGTTGTTGTATGAGACGTTGCATATACAATTCACGTTCGCCATAGATGTCATCAACGGCAACACGTTGCTGTTGCAATTGCATTATTTGCTGTTCCATTTGAGAGTCCATATATTGGGCTGTAGGTGATTGGGGATAATCGTCAGGACTACTGAGTGTTAGTTGTTGTTGATACTGGGCTTCTAGCGTATCTATGGGATAGTTGGCTTGCTGTTGTTGTGGTGGTATTCTCATAGCTGAGGACACATTACCCGTACGGGTGTCATATATGGCATGATGTTGTGATCTCGATTGTTGCTGCTGTTGTTGATACTGTTGCATTTGCTGCAAAGTGGGAGACATTATACCTGATCTACGACTAGATTGCTGCTGCTGATGCTGTTGTTGGTGCATTTGATGTTGTCTCATGGCTTCATTATCTATAGAATGTTCAGGACTAGGTGAAGAATAGCCACCATCTGTTATACGTCTGGGTTTGGGAGGAGCATTGGCATACAACGGTTGGCCACTACCACCCGCACCACTGCTACTGGATGTTGTTACTCCACCATTATCTGAGGCTGGCGTTACTTGTCCTTGACCGGACATTTTGCTTTGCTGTGATTGAAGTGTATGAATACCAGAGTCAGAATTTTCACCGCTATGATTTAAAGAAGAAGAACCACTAGGATGTTCCGATGATTCACCAGCACTGCTGGGAGCTTGCATCATGGTGGCCGCACTTAAAGCTCTCACCCATTGTACCATAGATTCGGCATTTTCAGCCGCCAGCCAATAAGTTCTCATATTTTGATGTTCACACTTAAAAGCATATTTGCGATAGATTTTATCTTCGGGCAGACAAGCAGACACCTTATAAGAGGGGAGTAGTATGGAACCCAGAACTTTTTCTTCCTCCGGACCCTTGTAATAGTAAAGACAATATTCTGCCAATACAAACCATCTCTTGCGCCACACTTTAAGGCCATCAGAGCCTTGTTTATACAGCCAACCTGCTATGGTAACAGGAGAATTTGGTGGCCTTTTGGTAATGGGAGATTTAAGAGCTTGTGAATTTGTTATTGAACCACCACCCGATTTTTTACGATCCAATGGCGCATGTGAAGGACTTTTAGTTGAAGCCGATGAAGATTCTTCTGAACTGGGAGTTTTGGTCATCTGTGGAGGATTATTTGAAGATTTTGCCACTGTAGAGATTTGTGTTTGTACTGCCTGATTGACAACATGACCAGGATGATTTTGTTGTATATAAATGGGACTCTGGTCACTGCTCTGTGGTGTTTGCAAGTCAGATTTAGATCTCTGCTGTAAAGCATGATGATGTTGTTGCAACTGTTGCTGATGATGCAATTGCATTTGTAATTGTTGATGCTGATGTTGGCCATAAATTTGCTCTTGTTGTTGTTGTTGCTGCTGTTGTTGATGATAATGTTGAGCTGATTTGTGGGCATTTTGTTGGGTAACTTTTAATGGTCCAGCAGCTGGCTGAAATTGATTTGTTAAATTCAATGAAGAGGGAGGCGCTCTTTGTTGTTGCTGTTGTTGCTGCTGCTGTTGTGCCTGTGTTGTTTGTTGTTGTTGTTGCTGTTGTTGTTGTGTTAACGTAGACATCATACTCGATGACTGACTCATATGATAATGACCCTGTGGTACAGGAGGATTTATCATTTGTCGCAAAGCAAATTGTCTCTGTTGATTTTGAGCTGCCTCATTTTGTGTGGCCAATTGTGCCTGTAACTTAGCCTGTTGCAACTGTTGATATTGTAATTGTAAATTTGTAGCCTGATTATGGGCAGAATTAATACGTCCAGATGCCGCTAAATATGTTCGTTCTGTTGGCGATTGATACAACTGGTCTGTGCCACCAGTACCAACAGTACTACTTGTAGGATAACCCGACGAGGTGGAAGCCTGATGGTATGGTGAACTATGTGCCGAACTACCTCCACTCCCCGAACTTTGTAATTGATGTTTCAGCAGTAATTTACTGGCATGTGGTTGTATATCGATTGGTGTTAGTGGTCCTGATGATGATGTTGTTGTCGGACTCTGTTGATACTGTTGTTGGTGGGCGGCTGCTACATGTCCCAGATGATAGTTGGCATGCTGCTGTTGTTGGAAGACTGGTGAATGTGTTGTTGTACGATAGTCAGCAATGTTCGTTTGATACGCTAATGGTATTTTCTTTTGTAAATGTTGAGCTTGTTGTAATTGCTGTAATTTTTTTGCGTCCATGGTGCCCGCATTAAATAGCGGTGGCGCCTCCAACCTACAATTACAATGATAATAAAAAGAAAAAAGTGTTTAATTAGTCATTTTAAAAGGTAATGATCAAGAAATGATGTTCCTCTTCAGCTGATATAATGAGATTATTTTAAAGCTTTTCAGTTTAATGTTTAAATTTTAAACTAAACCACCTAATTTGTAGTTCAAACCCTAATTATATAGACACAATTTGTCAAATGTTTAAATGTTCCAATTTTATCGTAAACATTTTGCTCATCAAATCTCTTTCAACCGCAATTTCTACGTTTTTCACAACAAAGCTTACACTCAACCGGTTTTAGACTATCAACATACCATTGAAAAGTTTAAAAATTTAAACATAAATATCTATAGCCTCATATGAACCTATTATGAATGAAAAGGTAGTAAAAACCTTCACCACACGTAATTGCTTTTAATTGATTAAATACGAACAAAAGCCATGTACGAACCTTAAATGAATGGCCTTAAAAGGCAGGGGACAAACGACCCCCTTTTATTATGTGTTAGAAAAGTAGCAATGCTCAGCAGCAAAAAAGTTATATGAGGATAGAAAAATTTTATAAAATAAGCACATGTTGCAACATGTGTCGTTAGACATACAAACCATTTAAAAAAATATGATGATGCAACAATGTGCTTTTTTGTTTTCTTTGTTTTACAGAATGGTCGAGTTCTGGATAAACTAGTATCAAAGTATAATTGAAGTCAAATACGACAATATGATTCCCTACGGAATATCTTATTAAGAGTTTTGTGACAATCAGTGCATAATTGGTCATTCTTTTTATACTATCTTTACCATCCAAATTCACGCTCATTCCACGTTTCATGATCGGTCCATATAAGTTATACCTACAGTATAAAATCCACTGTAATTTTTAGACATACCTCTAGTCGGTGTAGTTTATAATATAGTCAGCGTGTTTGGCTCAAAATCATCTAGGTGTTTAATATCATAGAATATTTGATGACAAAATATTTTGGAAGATATTTATTTTAAAGATATGTATTAATAGTTTTATTAGATTTTAATGAAATAACGTTGTTTAGAAAAAGTTTCCTATTTTTAATGGACTAGTGGTGCCCGGTCCACGTTGCAGACCAATGATTAGTAATGTGGACTCTACGCGTAAATTTTAAAATAATTGGTTTTAACGGTTTAGGTGTAAGTGACTAAAAATTAAAACTTCGGCGACATCTGTCGGACAAATAGATAGATAGATAGATAGATAGATAGATAGATAGATAGATAGATAGATAGATAGATAGATAGATAGATATAGATAGATAGATAGATAGATAGATAGATAGATAGATAGATAGATAGATAGATAGATAGATAGATCGATAGATAGATAGATAGATAGATAGATAGATAGATAGATAGATAGATAGATAAGATAGATAGATAGATAGATAGATAGATAGATAGATAGATAGATAGATAGATAGATAGATAGATAGATAGATAGATAGATAGATAGATAGATAGATAGATAGATAGATAGATAGATAGATAGATAGATAGATAGATAGATAGATAGATAGATAGATAGATAGATAGATAGATAGATAGATAGATAGATAGATAGATAGATAGATAGATAGATAGATAGATAGATAGATAGATAGATAGATAGATAGATAGATAGATAGATAGATAGATAGATAGATAGATAGATAGATAGATAGATAGATAGATAGATAGATAGATAGATAGATAGATAGATAGATAGATAGATAGATAGATAGATAGATAGATAGATAGATAGATAGATAGATAGATAGATAGATAGATAGATAGATAGATAGATAGATAGATAGATAGATAGATAGATAGATAGATAGATAGATAGATAGATAGATAGATAGATAGATAGATAGATAGATAGATAAAAAGATAGATAAAAAGATAGATAAAAAGATAGATAGATAGATAGATAGATAGATAGATAGATAGATAGATAGATAGATAGATAGATAGATAGATAGATAGATAGATAGATAGGTAGGTAGATAGATAGATAGATAGATAGATAGATAGATAGATAGATAGATAGATAGATAGATAGATAGATAGATAGATAGATAGATAGATAGATAGATAGATAGATAGGTAGGTAGGTAGGTAGGTAGATAGATAGATAGAGAGATAGATAGATAGATAGATAGATAGATAGATAGATAGATAGATAGATAGATAGATAGATAGATAGATAGATAGATAGATAGATAGATAGATAGATAGGTAGGTAGATAGATAGATAGATAGATAGATAGATAGATAGATAGATAGATAGATAGATAGAGATAGATAGATAGATAGATAGATAGATATAGATAGATAGATAGATAGATATATAGATAGATAGATAGATAGATAGATAGATAGATAGATAGATAGATAGATAGATAGATAGATAGATAGATAGATAGATAGATAGATAGATAGATAGATAGATAGATAGATAGATAGATAGATAGATAGATAGATAGATAGATAGATAGATAGATAGATAGATAGATAGATAGATAGATAGGTAGGTAGGTAGATATATAGATAGATAGATATATAGATAGATAGATAGATAGATAGATAGATAGATAGATAGATAGATAGATAGATAGATAGATAGATAGATAGATAGATAGATAGATAGATAGATAGATAGATAGATAGATAGATAGATAGATAGATAGATAGATAGATAGATAGATAGATAGATAGATAGATAGATAGATAGATAGATAGATAGATAGATAGATAGATAGATAGATAGATAGATAGATAGTGTAGTAGACTAATCCGTCAGCCAGTCCACTGCTACACTCACTGCTTAGTTAAATTGTTGCGCATAACTAATTTTTCCACTCACAAAACATTTTCTTAATTGTTTGCCTATACTTTTATTTTAAGACTTAACTTACAAAGATATTCATTAAAAAGGTAGCTACTTGTAGTATTTTAATCGAAGTTTTCGCCAGTTTGTTATGTATAAATATATTTGCAATGGAATGATTTTTTTTTATAAAATTCAAGTTAAATTGACTTTTACATAATTTCCTACTGTTTAAGGATTTCAATATCTTATTTTATTTAAATTATCATAACAAATGCCGTTATGACAGATACCTGTTTCAAACATTGGTAAATGCCAGTGTTTTATGTAATACATAAATTTAAACAAGCTTGTTGCTAAAGTAGATTAATTTTTATTAATATGGCAAGCTATGAACATATTTTATATATATTTTTTTTATTTAAACACAAAATATACAGTAAACTTACCAATCCCATAACTGATAAATGCAACCCAACATGTTGAGGGATTAATTTCTGGTTTTCTTGCGTTTTTGCGATTTTATTATTATTATTTTGTTATTAAATAGTATGCCACTCAGATGATGATGACATCAAAATATAATTGATGTAATATATTTACGTTTAATTTGTAATTGATTTAAGTTAAAAATATTTTATTGTTTTCATATATTTTTAAATTTTTGTTCAGTTGTTTTTTAATTTTTAAAAATATATTTTTTTATATTTTAATGATTATTATTAATATGATATGGTTTATACTAAAAATTAAATAAAAAATTATAAAAAATGTAAAATCATATAAAAAATGTAAAATCGTATATATCATCAAAATTATTATTTTTTTCTAGGTTACAAGCAGTTTAAGTGACCAGTTTTTTTTTTTTTTTTTTTTTTGAGGGGGTGGGGGCGTTGGAGATAAATTTGTTTTCATGGTTAAATTTTCATTACTTTTATTGGTGTTATTTTGCCTGATTATGTAATATTTTTTTTTTTTTTGGAGTTTATGTACTCCTATAAATTTAAATAAAAATCTGTGTTTAACAATTTTTTCTGGTTTTTATTTTTTGTGTATAAAATTTTTGTTTGCTTCTTAGTAACCAAAAAAAATATTTGGAACATGGCATTTGGCTTAAATCCAAGAAATAAATTTTTAGGCTTTTTAACGAAACAAAAAAAAAAGAAAATATTTATGCACACTCGCATCTGTACACATTTTGTAAAAATTTAAAGAAAGCGAAAAAAATCAAAATCACAATAAAACATATTTAACAATTACATAAATACCACCATTGAATTGGTAGAGAGTGAGTGTGTGTTTTGGTTGGTCTTTTTTCATAACTTTTGCCAAAAAATTTCGTAATTTTTTTCCTTTATTCACATGCATGCACGACATGCAATACAAATCAAACATAAATATTTCTGTTTATACCCAGCAAACATGAAGGTTTGATTTTAAGTTATGAGTGATTTGAACTTTTTCACAACTTCATAAAAGTTATCTTAACAAAAATATGTAGGAGATTTGTTTGTCAATAGGAGAAATATCTCAAATTAAAGCAAATTTAAGTTCATACTTCTGTTTATTGTAAATCCAAAATCTTTATGTTTATTGCATTGTTTGTTGGATATGTGTGTGTAAATTTTTTTTATTTTTATTCATATTATAAAAAATTTAAGAATTTATTCATACAAAATTACATGTTGTTAAGCCATTTTTATTTAAAAATTTTATGTGTATTTTGAAAATTATAAATAATTTTCTATGTATGACTATAATATTGCATAATTTATGTTCTCTTATGTTCAAACAAAAAGAGGCCAATGTGTTTTTTGAAAATAAAAAAAAAAAAAATTTAACAAAATTGAAATTTCTATTATTAATTTCAGCAATAAATAGTAATGAGAATTTAGAAAAATTTTGCATCAATAACTTTATCAGTAATTTATGTAATTAAAGAGAACATATCAGGCTTGTTGAGCAAGCAATTACATTAAGTAATTACAGGCTCAATTAAATTTACACGTAATGTGTCATGGAGTCATAATCAATTACTTGTAATTGAATTCTTATAGGTAACAATAACATCTAATTGAATGATCGCCAATTATAATTACGCCTATTTGTAATGGAATTATCAGCAATTACAATTATATGTAATTGTACTGCAAAACAGCTCAATTAAATTTACATAATTCAACTAAAATTAATAGTAACGAATGCAAAAATATAGTGAATACTTAATTGCAATTAAAGTAATGTAATTGAAATATTTTCAATTCAAATCACAAGTAATTGTAATTGGTAATACATTAATCATATTTTCAAGTAATTGTAATTGTGGCGTCCGTTACGTTAATGATTAGTGTTCTAGTCTGTTAGACCGGAGGTCGTGCGTTTGATTCCCAACTGAGGCTTTGGTAAGGGAGCGCAAAACTGGTCTGATGGTGGCCTAGGTGTATTTCTTCGGATTAGATGTAATTATACATTCTCTTCTTAACATAACTAACTAAAATTAGATGTAATTGTTAAACTGCAATGCAAACGGATTCAGACAAATGTAAAGCATGCGGTAAGGACAGTGAAATACTATAACATTTTCTCTTTCAATGCATTGGCTTTATTACATCCCTCAGAAATACTGATTGCAAAAATTCTAAAGAACTACATTTAGGAAACTCACTTTCAGAAATTTTCAATTCAATTTGAAAAATTCTAATTTGAATTAGAATATAGTTAATATTTAAAAATTTTTCAAAATTTATCTCAGAAGTTCTTAATTATTTTTTGCTTCTAATATATTTCATAAACATTTATCAATATTTAAAGTACAATTAAAAAAATCTGAAATACCAAGACCATCTTTTAAAATTGAAATAGAAACAATTATAAATTTCCGAAATTAAATTAAACAAGTAAGAGACTATAGTCGGGCGTGACCGACCATATGATACCCTACACCAGTTATGAATATTAAATGTGATTTATTTTTCATAATAATTCATTGTTCCGATACATTTAAGCAACTTATGGATGAAAAACTAATTTTCTGAAAGAGGTTTTATAAGGGGGCTAGGGGCAAATATGGACCAAGCCCGATAAAGTTTTGTGAATATATCTATATTTATATAATATTTATTTGTGCTGAATTTCATCGCGATATTTGTGTTTATAAGTTAATTTTGGACATTCAAGTAATTTTCGGAAGGGGACTTTGTATGGGAGCTAGGGTCAAATGAGGCCCGATCTTTATGAAATTTGGCAAGGTAATCAAGGCTTAGTTGTGCCGCTTTTTATCGGTATATTTAACATAATTATAAGCTCAGAAGCCCTTTTCGGGGGGTTCTGTTGTATGGGGGCTAGGTGAAATAATGGACCGATTTTAACCATTTTCAATAGGCTTCGTCCTTGGGTCAAACAAAGTGTGTGCCAAATTTCATCCAATTATCTTGAAAATTGCGACCTGTACCTTGCGCACAAGGTTTACATGGACAGCCAGCCAGCCAGACGGACGGACATAGCTAACTCAGAAAACGGTGGGTATACGACGAATATTTTTGTATGTTACAAAGATCAGCACAAACCCAATATACCCTCCCCACTAAAGTGGTGTAGGGTATAAAAATAGAAAATAAATTTTACAATACAATAGATGATCTTTGAAATAAAATTTTAAATGGTGTACTCACAAAAAACAATTACATACGTAAACAATTATTCAATAAATGAAGTTAATTTAAATATTAAATGCAATTTGCACCATACAAACCAACAACAACAAAAAATTAAATAATCTATACATGAGAGTAAAATAATGAAACAGTTTAACTTAAGCTCTTAACGTTTAAAATAAGCTTATAGAAGTTTTCGCATATCTATGTATTAATGTGCATTAAGGTGGATTTTTTTTTTAAAAATTTTGGTTTGGTTAAACAGTTTAGTCAAATCAGTATACTGTTTTCTGATTTGAAACTAAAAGAGAAAATCAATATCTTTCAGAATATAAGTAAATAGTGAAATTTATATTGTGGAATCACAGCTTAAAGTGATTTAAATGATATTATAAAAATAAATTAAATTATATCATAAATTAACTCAAGTATCATACAACAGTTGTCAAAAAAGGCCAATTAACCTAATGACAGGACTCAAATTTCTTGACTTCTCACTAATATACTTATCCAACCTGTAAAACTACCCTAATATCTACGTGGGTTTATATAGTAAATATAGCGGTTAAAATAAAATACTCATGGTAGAATTGTAGTGGAAATAGTGCCATAAATAAAATACTACTTGTATGTATTTACAAAATACAATACTCATACATATCCATGTATGTACATTAGGGTAGACCTAAAATAGTGTAAATATTTCGTAAGTTAGATCAAAGGATAAATATATCCTTTTTTGAGGTTTTTATTATTTCGATATTTCTTACAAAGAAAATATACTCAATTTGGTATCATATGAATGGGTCGTGAAAGGCGCTTTCAATGTCATATCAAACATTTATATGCTATAACAGAAATAATAAACAATTTTTAATTTTTCGGAAAATATAATCCACTGGAAGCGCCTCTCAAAGACCTTTCTAATGATATACAAATTTCATACCATTCTTGTGCGTGAAATGTGAAAAATATTTGAAAAAAGGACCCTTTTAACCTTTGACCAAATCACCAAATATTGACCTTAAAACAAAAATTTTGAAAAATGCTATCATAGAATGAAATAAGCATTAGTCCTACATTTTTTATCCATACAAACGGGACCACGCTACTAATCATAAATTCAAATGCATTTGAGTATAAGAATGTGAACATTTATATGATACTGAAATGTACATAGAATATTTGTTGCTATTAAACTCAATCGCTATGGTATTAATGTAAAACAATTTTCCAGCAAAAAAAAAAAAATTGCAAAAAAAAACATAGTAAGTAGTAACAACAACAGAGCTTAACAAAAATCCTTTTAAAACAGGATATAAAGGTCGTTGTAATATTATGTATTGGTGCGTGTGTGTATATGTATCGGCTTATGTTTCTATAATTTTAAAATCTACAATACATCATGGTGGTTAAGTGAATACCTACATATGTATGTATGCTTGCAATTGTGTTTTGTCTATAAATATCCATGTATGTATTGTACTTTAAGCGGCTTTTTTTTAATGTACGATAAACCAACTTTATATACTTATACCATTACATTTGAAACAGCAGGGGTCTTCAGAAAAAAGGCAGGTGCCTAAACATTTATTGTAGTTGGAAAAATCTTAAAATACAAAAGATCGATATCTAAGTTCATAAGTTGTCATTTGTACAAACCAAATCAATGTACATATTTCTAAGTGAAGTTCACAATGAAAATATTAAGGACCTTCCTTTCTTCAAATGCTTACGGCATTTCTTTAAATTTTCTTCTAAATAGATTTTTTTAATTTTTAACCTATCAACCCCATTATACGTGGACCTATCCTATATTCTAAGCATTGCTACAATTCATTCTAACATATAGTCTATATGATGATTATGTTTCCGTATGTTTTTGTTTCTTTTTTTAACAATTGCAATAAAGTATCGATATTAAACGGAAACAGGATGTATATTTATGTGTTGTTCTAGGTAGTAGTTATTGTAGTTACAGTTAAAATAAAAACTATAACAAATGCTTTTATAAAGTTGCAACAATTTATGGAGAAAGAGA